GGAGGGAGGAGTTGGAGGATTTCTCATCAGAAATGTTAAATAACGAAAAAGACCAAAGCTGAACTGAATAGCAAAATCTCTGGAGAGACAGAACTTTAATATATTTCAAAGTGTTAGGGGGAAATAATATTAGTAGTTGGGTAGACAGAAACTGTGGAGTGAAATTGGTGGGAAAGGAAGCAGAAAGAACACATAAGAATATTGTTTGAGGATTATCTGTGACATGAGCACATAATTCAAAATTTGCCAATGTGTCCATGTTTATTTAGCATACCACACAATTATTAAAAATTACTATAAAGACCACCTCATTACACAGGACCATGCTGATGGAATGCTAAAAATTTAAGATGCTGAGGTATAAATTCAGTTGTACACAATGCAAAAAGTACAAATGAGAAAGACTGGAAATAACTCAGACTATTTTAAAAATAGCACTTTTTTTCAACAAATATTTCAGACTTTTGTTGCGCCCATAGACATATTTCATGTTATTTTCTAACCTTAAGGAATCCTGAATCTAATAAGAAGGTAAGACATAAAATCTTACTATTTATGGAAGAGAGAAAGTAAGAGAGCCATAGGAAGTCAGATGAAAAATATTCACACAAGACTGTTGTGATCATGAAGGCTTAATGAAGGCAGTAGAGGTTGAACTGGACCTTGAAGGACAGGATTTTAATAGATAGTTTGAGCATGAAATGGCATTCTCTGTGGAGAAAATGCATAAGCAAAAGGGAAAAGATGGAGAAGCACAGCTGTATGTGTGAAATAGCCAAGATTCAGAGTGTTCGATGAATATAGTAGCAAAGACAAAGATGAGTTGAAAGTGAGATTGAGGTTAGAGTTTAAGGTGTCTTGCATGCTAGACTAAAATTTGGACCTAGTCATTGTATAATAGATGATATATACATTTTTCAAGGTGTAACATGTTTTCTGGTCTTCATAATAATGTTTTCAAGAAGAGACTTATCACTTCATAAATAGATGACTAATCTGAAGTTGGAGAAACTAAATAACCCTCCAAAGTCACAGAGCAAACTTTCTTTCTGTCCCTGTTATATGTTATAGTTGTTCATTCACACCAACAATGTAGCATTTGTCACAATGCATCATAATTGTGTGCTTTGTCCTCCAGCATATTCTATTTTTGTATAGGAAGGGCAGCCACCAGGAAATTCTGTATTATTTCAAGCAATTGGTATAAGAAATTTTTTGTAAGCAGCAGAGTGTAGTAGTCAGAGAATGGCCTTAGATTAAAGCCTTGGCATGAATTCTGTTATCTACCAGTTGTTTAACCTTACCAAAGAGTTTGCTCTTTCTGAGAATGTGTCCTTATTTTCAATATATGGTATGGTGCAACAATAAGGCTTTCACTAGACTCCAACACCTTGATAATGAGCTTCTCTGCCTCCAGAACCATGAGCCAATAATTCTTTTCCTTATAAATTATCCAGTGTCATATATTGTTATTACAGCACTAAATGAACTAAGACAATCTCCATTAAATAAAACCCAATCAATAATTCATACATCTTTATTGTGGTAACCTGACCAGCGCTCTATAGGTACAACTACACAAACCAAGCATACTATGGAGTTGGATATTTTCTTCTTACATTGACCTTTCTGCTTCTCATTGCTATTTTATTTTCCAGCAAGATTTCAATATGTTCCAGGTCAGGTGCTTCCAGGAAATCAGGCTTGATTAGTCATGATCCATCCCTTCTATGGAAACTCAAGTGTATCAAGGTACTTGTCAGTGTGTATTGGTGATGGTGTGCTTTGCTAACTTTATTTTAGCTTGCTGTTTGATCAATTTTTAGCTATTAATGTCCTGACATACAATCACTCAAGATTTTTGACTTTAAGATGGCATGAAAGTGATATGTATTTAATTAGAAACTGTACTTCACCATTTGATTATTGATCTTTTTCCAGGCTAATGATGCTTAGTATTGTATTCTCTTGTGATGCTGGGCAGTGGTAGCCCATGTGATTGTGAAGGTAAACAACTAATGGTCTACAGGGTACTGGATTGTTCAGCTAGGATAGTTGGTATGTATATTAAATGCATTTCCAAGTTATGATACTTTCAACTTATAATGGGTTTATTGGGATGTCACCACATCAGATGCTGAAAAGCATCTATATTTTGACCTAAAGAACCAAATTTAATCAGAAGTGTGGCATTTGTAATGATGCCCTCTGGGATATGGACAATAAATACTTATACTTACCATGTTGATAATGATGACAGATTGTTAAGTCAAACAGCTGGGAAAATATAAATTGAATAGAGCAGAACAAATAAAAATACTAATTTTAAGTACACAGCTTAATTAGCTAAAAAACTGGTCCCTATGCCTATTCTTCTAGTTTTAGGCAATTTTAAGGAATATTCTCAGAAAGAACATCCTTCCCGCCACCCCAGTATGCTCCTCATCTTACCCAAAATTCCTTTAAGTGTTAACTATCAGATACGAAATAAAGTCTAGCTATGAATTTAATGCAGGTGGTTGTTTGAGATTAGGAAAAAGACAAGCATATTTCCTTAAATGCTCATGATGTCTCGTCAGCACTAAAGTTTTGGAGATTCTAGGATATTTGGAAAAGCCCTAAAGCACTTGTCCATTGGCTCAGAAGATGACAAAGGAAGTTACGTTGGAGAGGTGCTGCTATACTAGCACAGAGAGAAGATCCAATGGAAGAAGAAAGAAATCCATTACTCTTTTATGGAGTACTATGGAGGAGCAAAAAGAATCCTTTAATTGAGAATTTAATCAACATTGAGACATCAAAGTAAATTCTGGGAGGCATGAGAGTCAATTCTTTCTAGCTTGCAAGATTCAGACAATAGCTCCTGACCCTGCAAAGCTCTTTGCCTGGAGTGCTGCCCAACTGTTGCTTTCAGTGGTAGGTCTTGGTTCCACCTATGTTCTTTTGGCTTGTCTACTCTAATAGTCCTGCACAATAACTTAGATTTTTAAAAAGAGAATTAAGTACTATGTATTTAGATAATTGATTTAATTACTGTATGATTCACTTATTCTTTTGGAAGTATGCAGGGTTTTAAAAATACATATAATCCATATATCATAGTTCCTATGGTACTTATAATGATATCTATAAATATTTAGTTATTAGATCTTCAATAAGTCATGTCTTAATGCAGGGCTCTTGTAATGGAAAAGTGAGATTCAACTTAATATTTTTAACTCATAATATTTTTCCAGAAGCATATCATAAATTTTAGCATTGTTCACACTGTATACATTTACATATTGCAAAGAAGTAAAATAAACTTGTAAAGTATATCTTCAGAATAAAAATATTTAGGCATTTACATCTTATAAACCTTCAAACAGTTCAATTTATACATATGCTTTATATGTATGGATATGAGAGACAGTTGAATTAGTACATAAAGTTTTTATTTAAAGTTTTCCCCTTCCAAGCAAGCTTCATTTACACATTCTAATACTGTACAAAATTTACATTCTCTGTGACTTATTTATTCACTTTTTACTTTCTAATAGTTTGTGTCTTTCTGAAATACAGAAAGTTTTACTTATAGATCTCATAAATGCTTTTATTTATTTTCACTAGAAGTAAAAAACAAACAATGAAGAACAAGTCTAAGGAAAGCAAATATTCTTGTATAAACTGTGACTTTTGGAAGAAATGGTGACAGTTGACAATAAAAGGTTCTGAAACAGACCTCATTCTCTTCATGATGTCAGCTGGGATTTTCCCAGACAGTCCTGTAACTTTTCTTTCTTTCTATGTATTAATATGTTTTGAAGGAAAAAGAAATGAAAGTTGATTATACTGGATATATATATATTCATATATATATATTTTACAACGGATCCTTTGGATCTGAACATACAAATAAATACAAAAACAACGAAGATTGCACTTTACTGTAGAAATGGCATTGGATCCCAGTATGCCCTTCCATCTTGATGTGTTCCACAATGGCTTTTCACCAAGGCATTTTTTTAAAATCTGTGGCTTTCCCTTACCGTTGTTTTGAACATCACATTTGTTGAAGGATTCAACATCTTTGGGTGATTAAAAAATATTTTAGGCTTTTTCACACTTCTAACAGTTGTTGGTCAAGCTCTGAAGAACTTGAAAGTCAAATTCATGTTCCTGCCAGTTTTGCTCTTCTGATTGGCCACACTGAGCCTATGTCAAGCCCTCCCAACTATCCATCTGCTCTAAAATTCCTTGCGCTCCTAAAGAAAGTAGTGATTGCTTATTTAACGGACTTCAGGTGTCTCTGGTGATAATAAACAAAATATGACGTATTGGGGAAAAAATGAGGGTAAGTCAAGTGTCTAAGACAGCCAAAGGTGAGGAAGAGGAGAAATATTTTGTCAGGTGATACTTTGTAAGTTGTTCTAAGAACAGAGAGACAACTAGAATTGTACTTAAAGGAAATTATTCTTTGCATTCCTGGATTCCTGAAAGCAATTTTTCTGTTTTCATTATGGAGCAAGTTAGGGTAATGTTCAACAAACTTTCTTAAAAGCTCTATGACTAAATTTTTCAGTCCTATCTTTTGAGGCAGAGAGCATGGTGTGTTCACTACTTAAATGCTGCAAAAAATGAGCATTTAAGCCCCTGGGAACTGAATAGTAACATAGTGTATTTTGTTTCAATTTTTTTTTTCAGATGACATTGAGGACACAAAAGTTAGGATGCTGGCTTGTGCGGAATTTATCTATAGGGCAGAAAGCAATCCCTACAAGAACCAGCAACTTATACTCTTGTCTGATCCATTATAAGGGCAGAAGGCATATAAAATGAGGGTGTATAGAAACAAAAATGTCCCTTTTTAATCTTATAGCATTTTCAATAATTGTATTGCCTATGGAGTCTGTGAAGTAGCCAAAGGTTAGGAATACAGAATCAAGTGGCAATTGCTGCAATGCACTGATACGTATTTTGGAGGGTCAAATTTTGAATCATTCATATACACAATATCCCCAAAATGTCAACATCGATCACATGCAGGTAGACTACAATGCACAATACTGATCTTAGGTCTCTCTGGGGCCAGTCTGTTGTGTTTTATCTTTTTCCTTTTGAAAGTTAAGATTCAGATGAGGAGTTTTTGTAAAGCTGGGACAAGTTAAAATCAGTCTGAAATGGAAAAGAGTCTGTCACCACAGGAAGTTGGGTGTGATCTGAGTTATGGACACAGTATCTGCTCAAGAACAGATCTCTTTCTTTCGTAGTTACTTGTAAATCGTCAGAAATCAAAGGTGGGTTTTGGCAGTTGTGCCATCAGAATGCACGGTTCCCATAGGACAGTAACGTCACTTGTCACAGTTTCTAGGACGTGATACTGTTCATTCCAGGGTTTCCTGGTGTTATTTGTTGTAGGGCACACAGGCGGGCAGGATAACTGTTGCACAGGCAGGGCCTGCCAGAGGCTCTGCTACATCTCCTTCGAGTTCTGTCCAGCTTCCTTTTTCTGGACAGTAGCATATTGTAGACGACTTGTAGGCCCCCTGTAATGGCAGAGCAGCATGAAGTATTTAGGGAAGGATGTTCAGAGATGGTGAGTGAAAATTTCATTCATCACATTTACATAGAGAAGAAAAGATATCTCTGCTCTTGCTAAAACATTCCATATGGAAGTAGTGAACATTAAATTGTTTTATTCCAAGGGAAAATTTGAAACTGACATTTCAAAAAATTTTTTTGATGACTAGTAAGAAAAGTCGAATAGCTATAACATGCTAGATGCTCAATAAATCTTTTAAAATAATTGACTCAAAATGGAAGTTATCTAGTTGGCTTAAATTAGAGGAAAATAAAAAGACAAGTTCACCTTAATATTCAAATAATTGAAGTAAATTGGATTTTAGACTGTTGCCTCACTCCTTTATTTGTATTTTGTTACTGCAGAAAATCAGAGCCAGGATTGAAATCCATTTGGGTTTTATATATATAGTTATATATATGGAAATATCACAATGAAACTCCCTGCGTAGCTACCTAAAACAAACAAAAATGTCTCATTTTTTCAAAAATGGAGAACAAGAAGGTAAAACAGTTTCTTTCTGGGAGCAGGGAGGATCTAAGGAAAAGGTATAGGAGAGTGAAATGATAAAAATATTGTGTACTCATTTATGAAAATAGAAAAATGAGACCTGTTGAAACTATTCAAAGGGATGAATTCAAGTTTCTTCAGCCAAAGATTTTTAAAAGGGAGATCAATGACAAAAGTATGGCAAAATGTTTGTGGATATTGATGCTGGATGCTGAGTTAATGAGGGCTCATTGTAATCTCAACTTTTGTGCATGTTTGGAAATTTTCTTGATAAAGAGTAAAAAGCAAATTATACCTCTGAAGCAGAATTCACAGCCATTAAAGAGTTAATTTCCACTTTTCATATCTTACTGGTCAGAAACTTTTCAGATTTTCTGATTTAGTATCAGCAGAACATTTATAAAATTACTTCAGTCTCATTTTTAGCTGAAAAACCAGAATCTGATTCTTGTTTGGAAAACCTGGGATAATGCAGTTGAGATGGCAAGCATCCACACTAACTGATTCTGTTTTACTACTCACGGCAACTTACTGTTGGCACATAAACATATTCTTAAAAGGTACATGTGTGAAGGATGATACATTTGTAGAGAAACAACAGAAAAAAGGATGAGACAAATGCGGACACGTACCATACTCCAGCTGTAGCCTCCCACAAGATAAATGCTGTCGTCAAGCACAGCACAGCCAGGACCACTGCGGCCTTCTAAGATGGGAGTCTGGAGAATATTCCACTGGTCACCTTTTGGGTCATAGCATTCCACAAGCATTACGTCAAGGTGGGAGAAACCTAAGTGAAATAGCAAAATGGAATCACAAAAGAATAAAGTCTCAGGGCCCTCTACTTAAGATTAGGACTTCTTTTAGAAAAAAAACAAAAAGCCTAGAATAAAGTAGATAGTTGTGTCATTGGTGACATGAATTTATAAATTCATTAGTGAAATTGGGAGACATGTCAGAAAGACCTAACAAACCACAAACAAACTCTGGGTGTTTTGGATTAATTGAAGGCAAAAATACTTGAGTAGATGCCATTAGTAGATGGAGGTAGATCTTATTAAAATAGTTTATTAAAACTTATTTTTAAAGGTTTAAGATAATTATAAAGGGTTTTTTTGGGTGTGACTGGGAATTTGAACTCAGGGCTTTGAGCTTACAAAGCAGGCACTCTAGCACTTGAAGCACACCTCCTGTCCATTTTGCCCTGGTTATTTTGGAGATGGGAGAAGGGAGTCTAACAACTATTTGCTTGGGTTGGCCTCGAACCATGGCTTTCCCAATCTCAGCCGCCCAAGTAGCTAGGATTACAGGCAAAGCATGCATTTTTAGAATGCTTAGAATACGCTGGCTTTGTTTTCTAAGTATTTATTTAAATGAACTCATTTCATCTCCTCTGTCACCCTGTGAGATAGCTACTCTTGTTATTTTCATGTTATAGATAAGGAAACTAGAGACAGTCAGTAACTTGATTAAGACATAAGTTACTCAGTGGATAGGATGAGATTTGAACCCAGTTGAACAAGCTTTAGAGTCCAAACTCTTATAGACTAAACTGTATCGCTATTCTTACTGAATATTTAACTATTTGAAAATATTTCAATAACTGATAATACATTATTTAGCATATATTTTTTATAGTCTGACAATGTATATAAATGTGAATGCTTTTCAATATTTCTCAAGGACCAAGGGGGGCTGGGTACTTTTACTGAGTGACATCTTCCACTTCTTCCTTTCTTTTTCATAAAATTGAAACAGCGCCTCTCTATGCAGCCCAGGCTGCTCTCAAACCTGTGATCCTCCCGCCTCAGCCTCCTGAGAACTTTGATTACAGGAGTGTGCCTCCTTCTACTCATCGTGAGGCTTCTCTGTGGCTAGGGCAGTAACCAGGTCACCGAGAATAACCAAGCTCATGGATTCTCCAGAAACCCTGCCTTTAATTTAGGATCTTTTTCAGAAAGTCCTAGTGGGAGCTTCATGGTCATGAAACAGATCAAATTATTTTTATTCTGTGGTTAAATGTATGCAAGCTGACAATCATAGTGTGTACATTAATTTAATTAACATTGCGCTCTTCAAAATAATTGAGAAAAGGAATATTTTCACTCTTGAAGAGGTAGGCATGTTATTTCAGAAGTTATTTCACTAACTTCTTATATAAAATAAATCACAATAAATCTGTTGGTACAACAGAACAATGTACCAGATGCAATTTTTGAAGCATATACACTTACAATGAGCATTTGGGAAAATTCTAGGTGCTGAAGTTCTAAAGGCACCATTTGAGAATGCATATGCCTTCTCCAAGCCAAGTACTGTATAAATTATATGTGTTGACTGTAATCCTCACAAAACTATCAAGACAAGGATAACTGTCCCTCTTTTGCAGACATGAAGTTAAGCATATTGGGTAAGACCCACAATAAGTAAGAGCTTAACCAGGATGTAAAGTCCTTACTCTTTCCTCGCCATGATGTCCCCTGAGCTGACCTACTTTTGACATGTGTATGTACCTGCTATTCCTCATTTAGTTCGACATTACACAGTTTTTCTGTCTAAACATAACCTTCAATATCAAAAGTTCCAAAAAAATTTAACAAATATCTTATGCAGAAGAAATTAGAAGAATAAAAGAATAAAGCTACAAAGTTAATATAAAATGGTTGAGATAAGGGAATGGAGTATGAGTTGAAGTGAAGGAGAACAAGTGAAAATGACAAAAAACACAAAGGGTAGAGTTGCAGTAATAGGAGAATACTCTCCCATGGGAAAGAGTACTAAGACAAATGACAGGTATGCACCAGGGTGTCTACATTTCTCCCTGAACGAACATGAACTTGGAAATAGCTACATAACAGTTACACCTGTGCAGTCTATTCTATTTGGGATAAATATGTATTAAGAAAAATAGAAAAGAATTCTAAGCCTAACCCAGTTTTAAAGATAATGTATTATGATAAAATAAATGCACAGACGTGCTATGTCTATAATAACCAGATAGCCTGTTTCACATTTAGTTCAGTTTCAAGGGTCATGGGATGTCAGAGCTGGAGAAGATTTCTAGTCCAATTTCTTCATTTTTAGTTGAGGAAAATAAGGCTCAAAGTAGGTCAGAAACATTTTCAGTATCACAGCTCTCTCAGCTTTCCTGTCAAATTCAGCGTTATGTACATACACATGAAGTTATAAACATTCACGCAAACTACAAAAAGTTGCAGCTGATGGGGGGGGAAGGAACCCAAATGCAATTCTAAAAATGTACTTTTTTATAAGTTTTTTAATTAAAAAAATCACTTTGATAATCACAGATGGTTTGATATTCGATATTTAAAAGAAATAATTCTAAATTTAGACACAAAATTATAAATATTTTCTTTAAGAAAAAATCATGTATTAGCTTTGTGCAGCAATGACTAAAGACCTTTATAATTATTACAAAACCACATTTTCTGGGAAAATTCATTACTACAACTTTGGTAACAAGGAATAATTTATTTCACTGAATTCATTGTTATAGCAGTGTTTGTGCTTTTCAATTATTAATGCTCCTGTTTTTTATTTTCTGTAGACATCATTATTCATTTTTTTAATGTGTATGGTAACCTAAAAATAATCCTATGTGCTGAAGAGCCAGACTAAATGCTTGCTCAAGGGTACTACTAATTTATACAGAGTAGATTTTATTTGGTCAACATGTTTTTTACTTGGTTAACTATGATTATCTAATGAGAAACCCCATAGCAAGAAACATGAGATGCAAATGTTATTGTGATTTAAAAAAAAAAAAGACCTTTCAAATGATTTCCTCCAATTGCATACAAGCGATCATTCATTACAGCCAAAGTGTGGATTGCGCGTTTTGTGTTCATATCTTGTTTTCGAGCCCAGACATCCATAACAGGGTCATAGCAATACAGCCATGGGACATATTCTCCATTGTGTACACCCCCTGTGAATTAAACATATACATATAAGTCAAGCAAGTACCTTGGAACTGAGCTTTGTGACAGAAAGTGGAGGAATGACTTGCCTGAAATGTATATTTTCCCATTGTGCACTGCTCCTGCGTGAGCTGCCAGAGGCTGAGGCAAAGAGGACACGTAACGCCATTCATTTGTATCCAGGTTATAGCACTCCACGCTGGACAAGTAGCCACTTTCATTCCTTCCACCAATAACGTATAAATGTTTGTCCAACCGACATGCATAGAAACTGGCTCTTCTGCAGTGAAAAGAACACCCACAGTAAATCACAAAAGGAGCCCCAACATGTTACCTTTGAAATAGGAAAAAGACCACTTAAGTCAGGAAGGGAAAGAAGACATGAACTGTTTCAGGGAGTGCAGCAAACCTTTACCTTCTAAACTGTAATCATATGCATTGCTCATTTTGGTTAACATTTTTTGATGTGAAAGTAAGGGTAGAGGAGAAATTCACCAACTCTTTGCTTCAGCTCTTTTTTTTCCTTGCTTTTTGTACACTGCAAAAGTGTTCATTAATGTTTGGAGTATTTGGTACCTTGTAAGGATATCACAGCTCAGTAAGACAAAGTGAAAAATGAGGTAGATAATGTAACAATAATAAATTATCTTGACATTCACTTTCTTTATGGTCCTTCAAGGGTCATTGTTCCCAATTTATAAGAGAACTACATCATCAAAATTTTTCTTCAATTATCATTTTTTTCCCTCCTAGTACTTCTGCAAATAGAATAACTTTTGTGAACTTCATATAATGCTCAAATTTTGCTCCTCTAAAACCAATTACAGGAATTTCATCTAAGTAGCTTTTGGTATTGATTCTTACGAAGCTATGGGATATTTTTAAAGTCCCTTTTCAAGAAATGCTATTGACTGTATTTTCTTTCTATCAAAGGCAAAAGAAAATGTGTTGAAAGGATTGGAGACAGAGTGGCCAATTCTGAAGTAGGCCATAATTAGCAAGATATTAAGGACCTGAATTTAGAATTTTAGTGGAAGAAATGGTAAGGGGTGGTGCAAAAGACACGCCAAAGGAAGAAGCTCTAAGACTTGTAACTGTTAAGGTATGAGAGGAGAGGGAAGATAAAGGTTCAAAAATGTCTAAAGTATGTGGGGTAAGGATGACTTGTTGAAATTTTAAGCAAGTCCTTGACACTTTGCTTTTTTCATTGATGCTATTATAATAACATACTTCACAAGGATAACAGTATGTACAATTGTTAAGTGCAGAGACCCTCAAAGGATATAATTGATGTTGAATGAATTAAATGAATAAAAAATTATTGCCAAGATAACTTGTGCGATGTAAATTGCAAGATGAATGGGCTAGAAGTTTTTTCCAGGTAAACCTATATTTTTTGGAGACTTTCAGGGTTGTGTTTATGAAGTGCTAAAACATTTGGGAGTATATATAGCATCCTGATTAACAATGTGACTTCTGGAGTGAGACTGCCTGGCTACATGATTTACTGGGTGTGTGACCTGCAACATGTCACTTAACATCTCTCAGGCTCAGATTACCCATCTGTAACGTGGCTGATAATGGTATGTTCCTTGTGGGATGTGTATGTATGAATACATGAAAATGTATAATGCCTGACATAGCGTCCAGAATTTTGTTCATTCTCAGGAACTATTGATTGATGTTAAAAATTGGCTGTCAAGATTGCACCTAAACTTTTCCTAATACATACTGATTATCTCATTTCAAAATGCTAGGACTAGAAAGTGTTTCAGATTTCAGATATTTTTATATATAGAAATACTTGCATATATATATAATGAGGCACGTTGGTGATGGGACCCAAATCTAAACATGAAATTCATTTTTGTTTCATTATTATTATGATTTGGATATGAGCATTCCCTTGAAACACTCATGTGTTGAAGGTTTGGTCCCTATCTATAGGTGCTATTGAGACGTAATTGGATCATGAAGGCTTTAACTTCATCAATGGATTAATCCATTGGTGAATTCACAGATGAATGGACTATTAGGAGATGAGCCTGACTGGAGGAGGAAGTGGGTCACTAGGGGCATGCCATTGAAGAATATATGTTTTCCTGAGATGCTTCCTCTCTCTATGCGTTTCCTGGCCACCATAAGGAGAGCAGCTCAGCTGTCCTCTACTAAACCCTATTACTGGGATGCACTGTCTCATCACAGGCTTAGAAACACAGAACCAAGTGACTGACCATGGACTGAGACCTCTGAAACATGAACCAAAAGAAAATTTTCTTCTCTTCAGTTGGTCTTTTCAGGTGTTTTGTTCCAGTGATGAATAACTATACAAAGAGGTATCCAGGATTTTTCGATAGTTTTGCAATTGTCCTGATAGCTGTCATTGATAATTTTAGAGCAATATTTTGGCTATGTTTACTTTTTCTATATTTATTTTCATGTTTTTGAAAGAAAAATGTGTGCTGTGGAAGATCTGGAGGGATGATTATGAAAAGTAATAATGAAAAATGGGTGGACAGAAAAGTAGAAAGAAAAATAAACAGGTGAGTCAGATTTCATAAAGTAAGCATTGTTAACATGGGTCCATGTCTTCTGAGGAGTTCATGAAACTCTGAAATTACACACACACACACACACACACACACACACACATATGTGTGTGTGTGTTTTTGTTCAGTTTTATTGTGGGGGAGAGAAGATATATCTATTAATCATATCATCAAATAAATCTCTGATCCCAAAATATAGGGATTTTGTGATACAGGGGAATAAAATCTCACCTAAATATAAAATTAGATTTAAAAGTAGTTGCAAATGCAGTGCATTCAGATGGACCACTTAATTCTTCCCTATTTCTAATCAATTTCAATTATTCTTTCTTTCAATAAAATACAAAATTATTTTAGTAGTGCTTTCACCTTTGCATATTAAAATGTTTTACTGAAGAATGACAAATGTCTATAAAACCTATCCTATGGTAACACATTTTGTTGCACCATTGACACAGGGTAGGTCAATATACTTCTTCCATATGATTCTATGATAGGTTTTGGGGTCTCTGAAAGAATACATTTGCAGATTTCCCTAATGAGTCTTCTTTCAATAATTGGACTAGGCATTGTGAGGTAAGAATGATGGGTTCCATGCAGCATTAATCTAGAAGATGCTAAGTAGTCATGGTAGCCTCCTATTTAATAGGATTTAGGGCATAAAGATTAAGAGAAAGATCCCTTTTGGTAGTGGGCACTCTTTTTTTTTTTTAATCTAATTTTGGTTTTCTCACTTCTTCTGATCTGGTTCCTTCCTCACTGTGACATCGAGTCAGCCAATCAGAATGTAGTTTCTCTTTTAGCCAAGGTGTTCTTAATGTGATGATCCATGTGTACTCCTAGCTTTATCCACACAGTGTCACTGTTAGGAACTAAATGGGAAAGAATTAGTAGCTTTCACTTCCTGACTGAAAGTGCACTTGTATATAGAAATTCTAGCAGTGAAGACTGTGAGCCTTTGACTTATTCCTTTGCATGCCTGAAGTGAGAGTTCCTGAGATGCATTACAGAAAAACTTGATTGTTAGCTGTCTGTCAGTAACTGTGAACACTTGCTCGAGACTAAAATTTCACCAGGCCAGGTCCTTCTTGGGAATGTTCCACCTCTTCCTCCTTATATGAGGAGCATACTTGATTTAATGTATTTTGTTTTCTCTGCAAAATTAAATTTCAGACTATTTGTAGTTCAAATTGTTCATTACTTCCTTATCTCTTCCTCTCTTTGCCCCTGCTGCTGGAAGCAATATTCAGAATTTCTTAGATAAGTTACAAAGAAAGACTAACAAAATGACTTCTACAAATATACCTTAAATTCTACTTATTTTACAGATCTTTACAAGTCCTTGCTGAAACTTAGGATGGTCAGTTTATATCCTAAATGTGAATTACTACAACCTTATCCCAGTTTCAATTGTTGGCTTCCATTGTCAGGTTAAAAAAAAAACAACAACAAATTTTTCAAACAGAATATTGTCTTCCATGGTTTCTTGTAAGACTACTAGAAGCACAATATTTAAATTTGGAAATATTTTTGATGTATTAGTTTCAAGCCTTCCTTGTTGTGAACCACAAGCTTTGTTGTTGCATTCCAAACTGTTTTGTTTTGTTTTTTTCTAACTTTTGTTCTAGCTAGGGGATAAAATCTCTATAACACTTAAAATGTCTATTTTATTGAAAAAAGTAAAGTTACCAAAGCATTTCTATTGATCCAAGTTTTCAATTTTGTCCTCTCCTACTGCAGAATCAAATCCTAAATCTAGAAACAAAACAATTCATCAGCATTACATTTAAATTTATATTTTCATCTAATCATTTGCCAGCAAATTCATAGCTAGCAGACATGTAATTTATGAGCTAATCCATGGGTAAGTAAGCCTAGAGGCCATGTGCCCATTTCCCTGTTGAATGGGGAGGGTGCTCAGCAGTTTTGTTATACCCCTTGGAAGCTCTAATCAGGTAAAACATCCTAGGATCTGTCCAGCCAGCTCTCTAAGGGTAAATTACCCTTGAGGTGGATTATAGAGTGTTTCTGGTCTTCTGTGAGTTTGGTAACTTTGCAGCATAATCATTTCTCAGTGCTTTGCAAGGAGGATAAATGGAAGAGGTAGGTGGGAGGATTTTGTTTTGATTCATGATCTACATCTTGTAAAATTAATGAAAAATTTCAGTAAACTTTTCTGATCTGAAGAATATCTCATATATTTTATGAGATTCTTTTTTTTCTTCTATGCTTAATCACCAATTAGACCAGGTGATGGTCCTTGCTGTTTTGAATGGAAGCCTGGTAGTGACAGAAACATTTCATTTGAAGTTATGGATTGCTGCCTGGGTCAACCAACTCATAAGAGAGATGGAGCTAGAAGATTGCCTGGGCATTTGTGAGATCTGCCTTTTCCCACTCAGCTCTATAAGGAGCTCTTTATTTGGTCTATCGAGTTGATTGTTCTAAATCTTAAAAAAAAAAAAAACTAAACTAAAAAAATTCTTTTACTAGGGACCTGACATGATATACCATAATGACTTCGAAAGAAACGTTAAACAGTCCATCCTGTCAACGGTGGCTGCCGGGCGCCGACAGACCATGGCAGGTCTCTTTGTCAGGTCAATGAGCTGCTAAAAATTGTCTAAGTAGGACCCTGCCATGATAGGCCATAGTGCCTCAGAGGAAGTCATTATAGACTATCAAGTAAACAATACACATTTAAAAAAAATTACTAATTAGATTTTTCAGCAATACTTCCCATCCTTAGGGGCTCTATAGTGAGATAATTGACCACAAGGAGAGTTGTGCCTCCCAAGCCCAAGGCGTGAAGGTTAATTATCGTAGTGTACGGCCCCCAGCAAAGGGGACCATAGTGATGAGGTGATGACACTTCAAGCATGTATCGATAGCTAGTTTCTAAATAAGACTTTTTTGAATGGTTTTGATTAAAAAGCAAAGTGATGCAACCACAATAACAACAACAAGAAACTAACCCTCCAAAGAGAGAAATAAGATGCTCTGGAGAAAGACATCAAGAAGCTTCTAGTTCATGAAGTTTCTGCAGGATATTCATTGACTTGGAATTATTTCTGGAGGTAACTTTGAACTAGACATTCCTAAAATGCATATTTTTTTTTTGTTTGTTTTTTGTTTTTTGATGCTACTGGAGTTTGAACTCAGGACCTCATGTTTGCTAGGCAGACACTCTACCACCTGAGCCATATCCCCGCCTGCCTGTGATTCTTAATATATCACACCTCATCCTCTTTAGTGTATAGCTCTTATCTCCTGAAAGAGTTTTGTGTATTTCTGTGGAATAGATAGTGATCTTCTTTAGAATACAGATTTATACTGTCTTTGCTTGCAGTAATGCACACTTTTGACTAATTGGTATTTCCTGAAAATGCCTTTTAACTTGGGATTTATGAGTAAAGATCTAGTTTGATCTTGGTGTAATCTACTTGAATGTTAAAAGAGATGTCAAGGAGAGGGTCATGCTGCATAAGAAAGAAAAAGGATGCTGCGATTGCTTCTTAAATAACTCAATGAAGAAAGGGAACTAGGTTGCAGTTTATGGTCCCAAGAGGATGACCAGATTCTATTTTAAAAGAACCAAGTATTCAAAATCTTGAATATGCATATAAATATAGGTGTCATGGGCTTAGTAACAGCCCAGGAGAGACAAAATATGTATAAATATAGTAGCCATTTTGTCCTTTGATAGCTAAGACACTTGGGTGAGAAAAACAGTCTGTATGCAAAAAATGAAATGACACTTTTAAGACTACTGTTGTTTAAAGCTAATAAATGACCTGTTCTTGAAGACATTTGGTGAGGTAAATGTAAATAATTTTCATGAATGAGACTTAAAATTTACTACTGAAATACTAATTTAAATAAATATTTAAACATCAAACTTTAATGATGAATATTAAATTCAATGTTAGATAATTTAATACTTAAATATAGAAATTTCTGTATCAAAATGCTTATTATCATCATGAGGATTTTGATTTATATTTTGATTTTAGGATTTAAATGTATTGTAACTGAGAAGAGTGGTGTAGCCAGTAGAATTATAGCTCTGTTTGCAAAATACCAATCAATGTAGTCAAAGATGCTACTTGCAGAATTTTTCTTCTTACATTAGAACAAATAATTGACTTATTTCATCATTTTTCTCTATTGAGTTAACAAGGCAGGCAATCGGACTTGGCCAAGCTTGTGTGTCTTCCCTTGATTCTGTTTAGCATTCCTTAGCATGGAAAACCACCTAGCACCCATGCTTCTGTAATGCAGTCCCAAGTGTTTCAGACACAAGAATCAAACACTTACCTTTCTTGCATAGGTGGAAGTTGGATCCAGCTATTAAATCGGGGATCATATCGGCTGACAAAATTTGTACTATGTTTTCCTGTGAAAATACATTTGAGACAATTAAGACTTTAATTCCTTTTTTTGATTTTCACATTTAGGAGTTGTTTTTAAAATAATATTTTAAAAATAATTTAACAAACAGATAAATTAGAAGGATACCTAACATAGCATGAGAAGTAGTTGTTCAGAAGAATAAATGTGTCATCTCGAATGTCCCTTTTTTCTTTTCTTTCCCTTTATTGTTTTTGGGATAGGTTAGGATTAAGCAAAATCAACTATACTAAAAGCAATTATGTTTACCAAACTGGTTTCTTATCACAACGTTAGAGTAAAAATTTCTGTTTTGGTGTTTTTATGTTTTAAAAATAAGTTATTGTCTATAAGCTCAGCTCTAGAGACTGCCTTGTATGGTATCTCTGGTTAGAATCTTTTTATTTTTAATTTCTTAAATTTTTTTCTTTTATAGAAAAAAAAGACATTTTTTTAAAGAGAAGTAAAGTTCACAGCAAAATTGAGATTAAAGAGATTTTTCCTTTTCCTTACTCGTGCCTAGTTCCCCATTCTTAGAAGTTCTTTTTGCTCACCCAAGAACCCTCGTGTTGTAGTCTTTTGTCTCCCCATGGAAATAATAACAACCACTACAATCAGTTCTGTACCATGCATGCCATGTGAGTCTGTGTGTGCATTTGGGGGAGAGCACATTTGCTGTGACATATGCACAAGTCATTTGCTGAAATGGGAAGCACCAGTCCTAGGAGGTGCTTAATCAGCTTATCCCCTTTTGGAGCCTCCAAGGTTTTCAGATGAATCTTACTTTGCATACACATTGACTTCAAAATAAGAAATGGGAGCAAAAGAGTGCATCACATTTTCTATGTAGCACTGAGATAGTAACCACCTGAGGCCTTAACTCTAAATGGCTGTATTTGTTCATAAATGAGTAACTAAACATTGAGATATACGTATTGGGCTTCACTGTGAATAGGGGTGTGGGTGTGTGTGTGTACAACCCAATTATTGGCTGCACAAAAATAAACTGAGTACCTACTATGTGATTTCTGTGTTCTAGACTTTGGGAATACAGTGGTATAAAAGAAACACAAGTCCCTGTCCTTGTGAATGAATAAACAAACACATAATAGGTATGAATGTTATAAAGAACAATAAAGTCAGGAGTGGTGCAGGGGAGGCCAGTTAAAGTAGGATGGTCACCTGCTTATAGATATTAGTTGCAAGCTATGCACAGATTTACAAAATGAACCTCGAAGGCGATGGAGCAGGCAAGTATAAAATTCTTGAAATGGTGATGTGTTCAAAAACAGCAAAAATGCTGGGGTGACTGGATAGAAGTCAGAGAGGTGTCAAGGGCCCAAATGTAGTTGCCTTATCAACCAATAAGAACAATGGAAAACCACTGGAGGGTTTTGAGCAAGTGAGGAACATAGTTTATCAGTCTGGCTATTGTGTGAAAAATAGTCTATAGAGGGGCCTCTGTGGAAGTAGGGGGACATCAGGAGGCCACTACAATAATCAAGACAAGATGTGTGTGACAGGTTTGAATGAAGTTTGGAGGTGGCGAGATATGGTCAGGTTTGAAAGCTATTATATAGGCATAGACAAACACAATTTCCTGAGGGATTGGATACTAGTATGAGAAAAAGTGAGTCGTTAAGGATGTCTACCAGGTTTTGGATAGAAGGTTACACAATTTGCTGGTAAGGAAGACCAAGTAGGAATGGACTGGGAGCAGGAGAAATAAAAGTATTAGCTCTGTTTTCTACTTAACCTCAATAGACCTATAGGATCTCAAATGGGAAATATCTGGTAGGCTAGTGGCTAAATAAGGATCCAAGTGCAAATTTTGGAGTCACGAGTTCAGAATTATTGTTTAATAATAATAATAATAATAATTATTATTATTCATTACATAAATTTATTTGACTGGATGAAATCATTTAAGGAGAGGGGATGGAACTGGAAGATAATGGACCCTGAGAATGACCCCTGGGGTAGAAGAAGAAAAACCAGCAAAAGGAAGGAATTGTTACAACACTTCCTTGTTAGTTGGCAAGCCAAGCCAAATAGTATTTGAAAAAGAAGGGGGCAAGCCACTGAAAATTAACCACAGCACTTGGCAATATGAGGAGCACTGATGACCTTGACAAGTGTTGCTTCAGTGAACTGTGGAGATGAAAGCTGGAGTGAGGACTACTCAGGAGAAGCTAAGATTTAAAACAAGAACAAAAATAAAAACAAAACAGAGGTAAGAGGATAGGCAAGGAGTCTTAGAACTTTTGCAAACCAAACCAAACCAAATCAAAAGCAAGACTCATAGGCATGGGAGGTCCATGGTGCTTTGTGAAAACTGAATTGTGGCACCAAGACTGGTTATTTTAATAGAGTGTTTTTCCACCTGGGAAGAGGGATGTGCCAAGAGAGCACTGAAGTCCAAAATAACTTCCCAATCTTTCTTGTTATGTTTTAGGTTTTAATTTGGCCATACAAAATATTGTGCAGATTATTTGCTTAGATACACCCTTTGACTGTACACTGTATTTATTTACAAATGCTCTTACAGTTCCAATCTCTTCTGAGGAAGGATAAGTTAAAAAGTAAATGTAGGGTTTACAGTGGATTGCATGTAAGTTGAGGTCTTCTGGGGACTTGTCAAATCCTTCATTACAGAGGGAAGCTCGAGCAGAGGTGTGAACTATCATTCTTGCTCCTTTCTGAATCTGGTTCTCATAGAAGGATCTGTCTCCTTTCAAATGCAAAATGAGACACAGCAAAGCTGTAGGTCCTGAGAAAGACTATCTTCCTCTTTCTTAAAATAAATGTTTTTGGTGGGTGGCCTGGATTGTTTTCCTCTAAAATTCTCTAGAGTGAACAGATGTAACAATTTTTTTATAAATTGCCTTGGTGTAGATGCTGAGAGAGGGCATTCACAATAAAATAAATATATGCAGTATATGTGATTTCAGCTGGATGTTCTGGGTTTTAAAGTAAAAATGTGTACCTGCAAGCTGTTTTATGGTTTCTCAGTCATAATTACCTCTGTTACACAGAAAGCTACAACTGCAACTCCTCCTTTGCAAGCTTTCCAAAAATATCTTGATAATTTTGCATATTCTGCAAGGCACCATTTTCTCCTTGTGTTTGGCATGTGAAGTGTGTTAAAAGGTTTCATTTCTCTTTGTGGTACATTTGTGAAGTAATACCATCAATCGGTAGGATGGTGGAAGAAGCACTTGCAAAAGGTACAGCAACTAGAATAGAGCTTCAGTTATACCTACTACAAAATAACTTTATTGAAAGTTACATATGGCATAACTTTCACTGGGGACAATGTTTACTTATTGCAACTGTATTATCATATTGACAAAACAGGAGGAAAGTGGTGGAGAAGGTGGTGAAGATTCTTAACAGCTGCAGCTGGCTACCTTCCTCTGGGGAGTTTGTGCTTATGCTTGTGGCATTCCTCAGGGGATGGATAAGGAGAGGGGCTGGGCATCACTGTGAAGCCAAATCCCCAGACATTCAATGAGTGAATGCTCTGCTGTGTATGTCTTCAGTTAGTTCAGTGATTGACCCTCCCTCCCATTGTCAGCCCCACTTTCTGACTGCTTCATCTGTCTTCTCTTGCACAGTAATATCTTTTCCATACTAATTACAAAATGCACTGATTCCAGTGCCACTTGGTACATACATACTTGCTCAGCACTGCTATTGCTTATATGTGTTCCCCAAAGGACCATGTTTTGAAGGCTTGGTCCCAGAGGTAGTGCTATTGGTAGGTGGTGGAACCTTTAGGAGGTGACACATATTGGGAGGTCTTTAGTTCATTGGGACCATGTCCCAGAAGGAACTGTGCGACCCTGATTGTCCCTTCTCTTGCTCTCCCTATTCATAATTCAAAATTATCATGATGCCCCTCCAGGCACGCCTGCTATGTTGTGCCACCATGCACTGGCCTCACCAGAATCAAGACAATGCAGGCTCATGCTTTGTGCCTCCAAAACTATGTGGTAAATAAACATTTGCTCTCTAAAGTTAGTAGTCTTGTGTATTTAATAATAGTCATGTGAAACTAACTAATGCAAGTGTCAACAATTAAACTTTTTCAATAGTTACCATTTGGATTCCATTGGTCCTCTCCACCCAGCACGAACAAGAAGTTTTCTACCTCCACAACACAGTGGTGGGCACTGTTGTATGGCATAACTGGAATTAAGAAAAAAAAGACATAAAATTTCCATCTAGATACCTCAGCTCATCAGTCGTTTGCTTCACCAAGTAGTAGAACATGTGAGACCCAATTAACAGGAAGATGATAGCATGGGCAGCAGAGTGGCTCCCCACATACCAGAATCCCCATACACTGGCTCGGTGGTGTGTTCCCAGTGGTTTCAAACCCAACTCCTTAATGTTATTCCACGAATTAGTCAAGAACAACCTGTCATGCTGCTTTCCATTCTTAAGTTCTCCTCACCTGCCTGATGATGGGGACAGTGTTCTAAAACAATGACTGACACCGTCCAAATGGTCAGAGCTGGCAGTCACTTCTTGGAAGAAGTAACTCTGAATATACTTGAAGCCACTAAGATGCTCTGCCCAAACTTGGTTTGCTGACAGTCTTTCCATAAACAGACTCAGGGTGTTTGGTAGCTTTCTATTCCACAGCAATGAGCAAGCTAAATTTCCATACAGTTTTAGGTTTTTAAATTAAGGTCCTGCTGATTTAATGCTTGCTCCAAATGTATACGCTTAATTTCCTGTACAATGCCATTAGCAGAACAATCACACATTTTCTATCTATCTGCATAGGAGCTCTTCTGTAACAAAGATGAAAACTGTCAGAAATATCACAAATATCCATTCTCCTTGTTACTCCCTTCTCCCTGCCCACCTGCAGTGGCTGTAAGGAGGGACATTATTCAGAAACTCACTAAGGCCAGGCTTCTCTGTACTTGCTGTCATTTGCTTCTTCTCTGAGGAGCCACAATGCTCACAATTTACACCCTTGCCACCTTTTGTGCTGTGCAGTGCTAGTCTCTGCTACTGTACTCTCATAGGGTGAATGTAAACCCATACAGCATTAGTTATCATAGCACATACAGTGGTTTGGGCCCAGTGACACCAGTAGGAAAAATGATGTCCTTGTTCAGCTCATCATATGAGCACCTTAAATCTAGGTGAGGACAAATGGGAAGGCGATGTGCATGTACAGGCAGCAAACTTATTGCTTGACACGGATCAACAGAGCACTTAAGAAACCAGTGCAGTGAGAAATCAATAGGAGTCCGGGCAGAGAGTAGGGGGGAGGGCGAGAGAGAGAGAGAGAGAGAGAGAGAGAGAGAGAGAGAGAGAGAGAGAAGACATATTTCACATTTGACTTCTTTGGGGTGATATATACCTCTCATTTTATTTTGTTTTTGTTACCTTTTATTTTTCTCAGAAAGCACATGTTGGCTAAGATATGTAAATAATAAAAAGAAGAAACCAGCATGCCTTTGAGAATGAAAACTTAGAAAATAGTTCTAAAAGAATAAATCAGATCACTTAAGCTTTGTATCAAAGGACTGTAGGAGTTTTGACTAATTAATTAATCAACTTTTGCTGAGAATATTCATTCTTTTTGAAGTCATATCCAGAAAGGAGAATGCATTAGTACATAAACCCCTGATTTTGGGGGTGTGGCAGAAATTGGGTGTCATTGGTTTGTGGAGTTCATGAATTAGATCAATGGACTTAAGACAGTCACCTCAGGATTGTTTTTAACCTGTCAACCCTCAGCTTATCTCTTTGGAAAATGCTTTTAACTGCATAGATCCTGTTAGCTCCCCTACTCAGAATTCATTAAGGTGGAGTATATATTGGGCTCATTTAGCAATGTTTTGAAGTTAAATTATCTCATTGTTTGAATTATGATGCTGGTTCCAAACTACCAAAAACAAACTTAGACTTCTCCATGTTATATTGTGAATGGCTTGTGCTCTGCCAGTTTTTTGTAATGTCCTCTGACCAGTGTAAACTTATATATTATTAATTGTCATCTGTGGCCATCAACTCATACGAAGTATAGTGCCAGAATAGAGACCAAAAACAGCAACCAACTTTCTCTGTGCCATCGTGTTTCATGTATTTATTTTATGCTTTTGGTTAGGTCAATGCATGAATCTTAAAAACAGTGAAAAAACTGCATTTTTTCTCTTTAACTACAAGTCCAAATTCATAATAAAACACATCTCTGCAATATAACACTTGTGTTTTGTGTCATTCATTTGCTCCCATTCAGGCAAACAGAAATTAAGTGAAGGAAATAATACATGATTTATTTTTAAGCCTCTTTCTCATTTGATTACCCCCATTGTTATGCTTTAGGCAAACAAATGAAACTATTGCATTAAGCTAACTAGTGAACTCTTCAGAATAAAAGAAAGTCTTTGAAGTCCTAATGTAAAGGACTTGAAGGTATTCCCATTTATCTACAGTTTTACTCTCATTTTAAAATCTTGTATACTATATTTCTTGGTTGAGCATTTCAGTGTTCTCATTCCTGAATTATTATCTTTTCTGAATTATTACCATGAATATTTGTGTAAATATATACAAATAACTCTGGAATTATTTTGAATGTAAAATGCTCTTAAATTTATTAGAGAAAAAAATCTGTGTTCAATCAGTGTGAATTTTGCAGAAGACCTAATTTCTTTGACTTCTGATTAAACCTGAATGAAGGAAAATAAAATAAATAGGACTGTAAGCAAGTGCCAACACTGTTTAAAATGGCACTGGATACTGCACTTATTGGTTCTCTTTTAACTAACACCAAATACCTCCCTGCTTCTTTCCAGATTTCTCCAGAGGTGGACACCTGCCTTGTCCTCACAAGCAGGTGGTGGAGGAGGTTCGCACACCACGTTCATATACAGCCCAGTGTGAGTTTTTAGCGTGTCAGTCAGTGAGTTAGAGGGAAAGGGGAAAGAGAAGCTAATCAGGATGAAATGAGATTAAAGGCTGTCTAATTTTACAGCAACTGTGATCCATCAGCCACTGTGAAAGTGACAGTGGAAATGAATGATGGAGACAGACAGGTGGGGCTGTACATTTCACTGATTTATCCTCAAATGCACTGGGCCTTATTTTATTGAGTGAACATGACCGCATTTATCATGTCTGTCATCTAAAGCCACTTCCCTCCATTTAAAAAGGTCACTTTACTCAAAGGGAGTAGGAGAGAGGCACTTTCAAATCAGATTTAAAATCTAATAACACATGTTTATAAGGCCCTTTGTGAGAATTCTCAACTTTATTACACAAACTAGTAGTGCTAGAAACAAGGGGGTAGGGGAGAAAATAAAAAAAGAGAAATCTCTGGACATCTGAAGGAGCACCTTCAATAAGTCTTTAAATTTGAAGCAGTTTGTATCATTTTTTAATTTTCCTACTGCACATACCCCAAATTCTGGTCAAGTTTGGGGAATTAAATACAACATTTACATTTAATATTTTAAATTTAAAAAATAGGAAGCAGGTAATACTATAAAATAATAAATTTGGAGTGGATACGTCTCAGTATTCACTAACTAAAATAGATGTCAGCAATTGCTACACACTGAATCTCTGCTACAATTAACTTCTATACCTGTTAATTGTTTTCCTTAATTTTAAGACCATATAAATCTCTGTTACACAAAGTCTTTTACCCTTTCCTGTACCAGTGCAATAAAATGTCTTGGAATGTTACACACGAAATTGTTCTTCGATATGAAGATGGAGTGTGAGACCGTGAGAATATTATGTATTGCCTTTCACGATAATAACTACCACTTACCAAACATTAGCATGTGCCACATATATGTAAATTAAATACATAATTAGATTCATATATTTACCTGCATTGTATCTCTGAAAATAAAACAACACTTGTGTTGCTATTCATAGCCCTAGTTCTTGTTATTCATTTACTCCTGTTCAGGCAAGCAGAAATTAAATGAATGGAATAATTTATGATATTATATCATAAAATATGATCTATGATAAAATTTACTGATATTTCTACATATATTTACTTTTATTTTCATTTAGTACAATTGACTCTAAAGTAGGCATTATATATCCATTATATTTCTACAAGAAATACTGAGGTCTTGAGAGGTTAAGTCACTTGTTGAAGGTCATATTCAGCTAATGAATGGCAGAGATGAATCCAAACACAGGACTATCTGGACCCTACCTCACGCTCTTATCCATTTCACTCTACTGATTTTCAATAGGTATGCTCACCCAACCAGCAAGTAATTACTGAGTACCTGACTGTTCAATGACGGTGTTCCTGAAATTTGTATATAATTTTTTATACTGAATTGTGTTTTAAATGTAGCTATTAGTTTAATATTTAAAAGAATCCTTAAAGTAAATAGATATTTCTTTATTTTTTCCTATAATATGGATATTCAAATAGTTTTTTAAAAAAATACGTTATATTTGTTTGATGGAGAAACACTGAACAAATTGGCCAGTTATGGATAGGTAAAGTCTATTGGCAGAGGGCTTTTATTATTTTTTAAACAATGAATGTCTATTTCAAACTTATAAGAAGATTCTTGGGTATCATGGGAATAGAGGCCCCTTTCCTGACACAGAGAACATCTGGGGGGCTCTTTTGTATTTATGAAGGCCTTATTCTACTACAGATCCACACTACTCTGCTTCTTCCACATTTTACCTCCATGGAATTCAAATTTCTTCCAGCAGAAAATTTAGGTATCTTTCATGACCCACAAATTTTCATGAACATTCAAATGAGTTTGTGTAGGGTTATGCCAAGAATATAGGACTGCTAATTAAATGGCTGGCTATTGAGTGTTTATTGTTTAGATGTAACCATTATGAAGATCTTGATTTCCTTTTGGTCTCAAATATATAAACTTGCAAATCTATCCAAAATTACCTATTTCTTGATATTTTTGAAAAAGTAAGTAAACACATAGTAAATATATAAGCTTTTCTAAAAGATCCATGGAACCCATAAATTTTTTCCTCTCCCTAAATCCTACCTGTCAGTTTTCTATCATAGACAGCAACACTGCTATTGTGTTCTTGGGTTTTTCTTCCAAAAAGATTACATATGTGAGGCAATTTCTTTAACATAAATGGTAGCAGCATACTGCAAATGCACTATTTAGTATCTTATTCTTTTGCACTAAAGAATGCACTCA